CCAGCCTTGAAGAACGGACAACCAACCTCAAACCACCCAGCTCTCTCTCCCTCTGCTTCAGATAGACAGCATACCCTCCCTACGCCTGCAGCATCTCCCCCCCTACAGCGCTTCAGCAGCGACCCCGAACACCGAGAGACCCTTTTTGCCCTGACCCGAATAGCATCACGATGGAGGCTTCAGTAGCCCACCGGCCATGGGAAGACAGCCGGCCTGCGCCCAACACCAACGGCCACAACGGCAGCCAGACAACCCTCACCACCCTACCGTCCATCTCGACCCTGACGGCGGCCATGCAGGTCGACAAGGCGCCTATACCGGTCGCTTCTGGTGAGAAATCACCTGCCCAGGCCTCCATGAACACCCTCGAACGAGACTCGGGCACCTGGTCAATGCCTCAGAGTACCCGTATGTCCAATTCCAATCTCTTCCCTTCTCTTCTCCCTCCCCTTGCTTCCCCCCTCTGGGACACACTCAGCACAGTTCATGGGTTGTATAGTCGAAAGGCTGGTATAAGCTAACACTTGTCACAGGCTCGTCGACGTATTCTAGCACCACGAACAATACCAATGGCTACCACCAGCACTCCTACCTCATGTCCTCGCAGCAGTCACCCAATCGGCTGTCGGGTGTCTCTGAGCCTCCTGCCGCTGCCACTGCCATCTCCTCGCCGGTCTCCAGCCATGCCTCGCCAGGCCAGAACCCGGTCCTGCCATCCATCAACCAGGCTATGGACCCTCACCAGCAACAGCAACTTCAGCAGCAGCAGCAGCAACAGCAACAGCAACAGCAACAGCATCAACAAGGCCAAAGACAGGACTACACCGAGTCACGCCGCAGCAGTATCGACAGCCGCATGAATCAGGGTATCTCAGCACTTCAGATCAACCCAACTTCGCCATACCATAGCACCAATGCGTCTCAATCATCAGTCGTCTCCGGCATGCCTCGAGACCGCATGAGCTATTCGCATCATTCAACAACTTCGTCTCGTTTCCCTCCAGGCCAATCGGCTAACCATCAACCACCTCTCTCACCCCTAGGCCCTCGCTCACAGGATCACCGTAGTCAATTCCCCGCCGGACGCACCGCCCCTCCCATCTCGTCGAATCCTCGTCCGGAAGAATTCCACGCTGATTCCCCCGTGCCTGGTCAGGCTTATGCCTTCCCCGATCCGAGCATATCGCACCACCACCATTCTTCCCTCAATGCGCAAGGCCCCGCGCCGCCGATTTCAAACAATCCCCGGCCAGAGACCTTCCATGCCGAGAATCCGGTGCCCGGACAGGCCTATGCGTTTCCAGATCCGAGCTTCAGTCGAGCGTCGACCATCTCCGCGCAGACAGACAGACCCTCAAACCAGTTCACGAGACGCCATTCCACCGCCGAATCGATGAATAGCAGCATCTATACCACAGAGTCGAGACTCCCAGCCGGGCAGCAGGGTACATATAACCAATCCAATAACCCCTAATATCTTATAAATTTGGATTTGTACTAATTATTCCATCTATAGAACTGCCCCAAAGTGTCCACCACCACTCTCTTCAACACCGCCAGGTCCGCAATATAATAGGAGAAGGCGATCCGAACGGTGCAACACCTTACAGTCGCACCCCCGAACTCCGAGTGACGCACAAACTTGCCGAACGCAAACGACGCAGTGAAATGAAGGACTGCTTCGAAGTACTCCGCGCTCGTCTGCCTTCCTCCCAAAACAACAAGTCAAGTAAATGGGAAACCCTCACCCGGGCAATCGACTACATCAACCAGCTCGAGAAAACAGCTTCTCAGTCCCGCGCCGAGACAAACCAGCTACGCATGGAGCTAGAAGAGATGCGCGCACAGCTAAGCCAGGTCCAATCTCAGCCTCAACAACCGCCGCAGCAGCAACAGCAGCAACAACAACAACCGTCGCTTACTCGACGGGCTAGCTTTGAACCATCCTCGTTGCAACAGCAGCAGCAGCAGCAACAACAACAGCAAATGCAGGTCAACGGTAACGGTGGTCTAACTCCACCACAGAACCCAGGCACGCTGTTCCAGACCCACGGCCACGTTCAGCCTCACCATAGCCACCATGCACATCATCAGCAGCTCCCGGCCGCACCACCACCAACACATAGCCACTACTCTCCCTCGTCCAACGTGACGCCGACAACACATGCCTCGCCAGACCCATCGCGGACACTGCCGCCGCTAATGAACGGATCCCTGGCCCCCATGCAGGGTGTCCAATATACCGACGAGCGGAGATAACAAATCCCCTCCAAACCAACATAACTATACTATACTATGCTCCCAACGCATTTATTCCCTCATTCTTGATTTCTTTCCTACTTGTTTTCCAACTATCGACATACCTACCGGTCTGGTCCTCACGACGTCTCAGGATGACTATTTCTTTTTTCTTTCCCCCCCCCTTTTACTTACCTCCTCCGCCTTTCTTCAAATATACATTCTTCGAGCTCGGGTTTCCTTCCCGCCTTGACCCCGTCGACGTCCGCGTCAGACATCTCATTTGTTCAATGTTTTGCGCAAAGATATCCATCTACCATCTTATCTACCGCCTACAGTTCCTCTTTTCTGGGCCTAGAAATTTGCTCTTAACGTCGTTTCCTTATACTTACTTATACCACCAACCCACACCACACCACACCACACCACTTCATTTCACTTCGTGATTGTCCTTTCTAAAACGTACTCTTTTACTACTCCCACCCAACCCTTCCATCCCTCGGACCCGACCTACAATCGGTCCACCTCCCGACCTAAATCTCGATATCCGTTCGTGTGTATGCTTTACCCTGCGAGTGACCAAAACGGCGTGCTTGGAGTGGTCTATTTGACTTGACTTGCTATGAATATTTGTTTTTCCCCTTTTATACTCGCTTGATTCCTTGGCTCTGGCTCTGCGTGTCTTTACACCTATCGACCAACAAATCTACCGACCAACCCATCTATTTATCTCTCTATCTACCTATCGGCTTATTTTGGATTTCATATACTCGCTTCCTTGTCTTTTTCCTTTTTCCTTTTTTTTTTTTTCCTATCAGTGTTATCGTCTCTTTTGGAATGGGAATGGGAAACATGCTTTGCATGTGGTTTCTACGGTTCGGTCTTGTCTTCTCTTTGTTAGATAGTCAGAGAGAGAGAGAGAATAAGAGAATGAGAAAGAGTACAATGACTGACTGGCTGGCTGGCTTGACTAAGTGTCGTTTATGTAGAGTGACTAAGAATAGAAGAGCCTTCCCCATGTTTATAGAGAGTCTGTTATTATACTAGATGCATTATACATTAAGTGGCAGCCTTGTTGGTAATATGCATGCAGGGTTTTTCATTTATACATTGTGACGGACGTGACTGAGTGCATATTAATTAAGTATATTGCTCCCATGTCAGGTGTCGGGTAACTACCTCGAGACTTCTTCTCTCCGTACCTTGACCTCCATCTAAGTCCAAAAATGTATAAACTATACCAATCACACGTCGATTGAAACATTGTTACATAGTTACAGATCCTTTAATTTCTCAAGGTCATCATGCAAATTTCGCGCGCTGGCCGTAGCCATCTGGGCAAATCCCGCTAGAAGCATACGTTAAAATAATGTCTTTGATAGTCAACGATATCCAAAGAAAAATGTATTAGGCTTACCATCAGGGGTCCCGTCCAGGACCATGTTGTGCATCTTCCCGTACAGAAATATTGTCGCCGGGCTCGTGTTTGAATCATTCTGGCGTGGGAGAGTCGTGGGGATGCGGAGCTGGGGATAACTCGATGGCCCTCCAATCCCAAAGTGCTGTGAGTCGTGGAAAAAAGTGACCTTGCACGTCTCATCCATGGCTCCACCAGAAATACCAGTAGAAGTTGACTCGTCCTGGGTAAGAGATGCAGCATGGAACGCCCTTCCAATATCTGTGGTAACAAGAACGTAGGCTTGACCTGGCTCACCGACGATTATAGGCACCTTGGTGGACGTCGGGACCCCCTTCACGTCATAGTTGGTGAAATCTCCGGTGACTTGATGGAAGTAACGACTAGCTGGCTTTACGAGTCTTGCAGCTCTGAATGAAGGGCCTACCGCCCGAGAGAAATAGCGAAGCATGCGGATTCCTTTCGATGGTATGTGGAGCGTTTCTGGTGAGATGGACAGGCAGTCGAGTATCAGGAGAAGTTAGTGATTTTTAAATTGGAAGACACTGGGTTTAATCCAACTCGTCCAATCACCGTAAAGCACGTGATATTAAATGTGATGATTAAGCTATTTCAACTTTCATCAAGGTTTCTTGTGGGGGCCGGCGCTTGTTGACCCAACACCTCCTCTTGCACTGTTGCATTTTGCAAGCTTCTGATACACGAATCCAGGGCAGGCAGAGGTCTTACATGACAGTGTGCTTCTTCATTTTTATTTCATAATTTGGGGGAAATTAATGCCGCAGTTCGACACTGTTCGGGCTTGTTGTTATTTATAGAAAGTTGTTCCTGTTTATTTATAGCACACCTTCTCAGAAGAAAGGCGCAGGCGGCACAGCTTGAGTGATGATCTTTCACGAACCAATCAAGGGCATTGTATCCGGGAGAACTCACCCAATTTATTTCATGCTTGGATAGTGTTATTGCTGGGCGCTTATGCCCTCAGTGCTATTGGGGAGGATAGGAGGTTTGATGAAGTGCTGTAGTTGCGGGTTACGTATATGAGCATTGGAAAATGGATACGCATTTTTCAGGCGCTTAACCATGGTAATCGTGGGACTCTGGTGCTCTTTGCGATGCGGCAAGAAATATAAATACACGCTCATGGCTCTTCCTTGATCTGTGTTAACACTATCTCTACTTATCCCCGCTTCATTGCCATTCTATATTCGAACACAACGAGAAGCTGCATAGCCCTTATCCTGCCTTAGCCATTACGCTCTCAGTTTATTTAGCTACCTTCTCCATTTCGAAGGAAAACAATTAGCTTGCTAAGATGCCACCCAAAACATTTCGCTTCTTGACAATGGTCCAAGTCCAACAACTCCATGCGAATTTTATCGCGGCCAACTCTCTTCCAACCCAACCAGGCCTGCTCGAATCCGCAATCCACTCTCCAATGAATCTTAAGCACTATGCCAAGCAGGAAGATGTGTTCCAGCTCGCTGCCAATCTCGCCGAGAAAATAATGAAAAACCACGCCTTCCAGGATGGGAACAAGCGCACTGCTCTTTTGGCTGCCGACATGTTTCTGAAGGTCAACGGGCATTACCTTCAAACGGTACCATTTGCCAGCGATTCAAACAACAAGGGCCTCACAGAAGCTCATGTTGCACTCGTTACGAACCGAATGAATGCGGAAGAGCTGGGCAGATACTACAAGTCTGTGGCGCGACCACTCATGGAAATGACCCCCGAAATTGTAGCTTACAGAGAGGCTGCCACCGAGCACTAGCTCAATATCTGTATAAGTCGGCATTATGGATTCCTCGACACATAAGCCTGTTATCTTGAGGTTGAACCTGGAGCCTAGTGCCCATCGTTTCGCCAATATTTGCAACTAGCTGTTGACATCTATCATTCTAAAGACGGGGCTTATTGATTTGAGATGTATGCTTTGTCATTAGTCTTTATTTTGGGCGATCGGTTTACATTCTATTGATATTGAGGTATCCTGTTAGTGTACTACGCTGTGTATTTATGCTTTTATCTTTATGAATATTACTTAGTATGTATATCTCAAACTAACAAATAGCAAGTGATCTTTTATACCTTATATGCCAAAACACAAGTTTAACAACTCTAGACTCGTCAAGATAGGAGGGGATTTCGTCCTGTCGAGATTTAGCCAATCACAATGTTGTCTAAAAATAGTTAGGGAACTTTTGAGTTAACTTTTACCCGGCGCTAAGAGAAACAAGCTGCAGCCAATCACATCGCAGGAAGCCCAACTCGAGTCGCTCAACGTCCAGGGGCAGCGATGCTTTTCTCCTCCTCGACCTTCCAACTGGCCCGCTGCATGCGGGAGAAGCAGCAGCCCCTTGCCCTGCACGGGCGGTTAGGGAGCTCTCTTCTGGCATTTGACAGGTCCTTGACTCGATGGCAGGCCGTCCAGGGCTCTCCACTGCGTTTCTGCAGAAGTTCAGGGCAGGGGCTTGATTGGCGGTGGATGATACCCCCGGCAAGCAAAGAGATGATATACATAGGTACAGGTCCAGGTTCCGTAGAAGAGGGAGTGATCTTCTTCTACAGTGATGGGTACTTGTTTCTTTTCTCCCTCTTGTTCTTTTCTCTCTTGTACACCTTCTGTACTCTGCTCTATTCTATTCACTCTCTTCTAGACACCCAGGCTGCAGCGCTGTGCGTTGATCTACAGTCTGGATATACATTCACACTCACACAGCTTCAAGTCTGTTGAGCTTTGCTATTCTTCTTTTACCATATATCTATTAATCACTATTCAGGTTGTTGTTTTTGTTTCTGCTGGCTATTGTCGCCATGACGATTGTCTGAATAAACATACACGTTCATTCTTCTGCTGCAGGATAACAATGAGACTGTCTGGACAAACAACAACAACATTATCAATAACAATTTACACTTCTCGAGCCGCCGTCGAAACCACCCAGGACACTCGCCACCATGTCCAACAACCCTTTTACGGCTTCCTATGGCCAAAGGCGTGATGGGCCCAAGCCGGCAGAGCTACAAATCCCCCAGATACCGAATTTCCCACTCTCGTCCCCCATACATGAAGAGCTACTCACGCCGTTCGATGATCTCGACTCCTCGCCGGACCCTTCAAACCCATTCACGTCGCCAGAGGACGCGAAGGAGGAAACATTTAGCTCTAACAACCCGTTTTTGAACCCCAAGGAAGGTCTAGGCGGCATATCGAAACTAAAGGGCCGCTGGGGATCAGTTAAACAACCAACTCGCGTTAATGTGACAAGAAGGTCGCCCAAGCCTGGCTTGAACTTGGTCACGAACTTTTCTTCGCCTGGTGCGCAGAGCAGGACGTATCAATGGGCTGAACAGCAGCAACAACAGCGGCAGGACCAAGATGGAACAAAACATCTCAGTGAGGTTGCTGAGATGGATAGCCAGTCTATATCGACATCTAGGTCTCTTTCCAGGACAAACTCGAAGAGTCTACGAATAGATACTTCTCAACTCAAACCAAGATCAAGACCTGCACGCGTGGAAAAGCGTCAGTCTGCTCGAAAAGGCCCTATACGGCTGTTCCAGAAACCTCTTTCACCAGAGATAGCTGTCTCACCGTCCGATAGACCTATTGTTATAGGCGTGTCTGTCCCTCTAGGCTCACCGGCTGCTTTAGCGTTTAGCTCGGATGCAAGGTCCACTCCGGGAAGAGCGAATAGTATACATAGCCTACGCAGCCACGGAAACACCCCAGTTACTCCAACTATAGTTGTCACGCCTGCCTGTGAAGAACGACACTGGGCATCAGACAAGATGGAGGAGGCCGTACCACCAAGACCTCGGCCAGCGTCAAGTATTTACTCAACAGCCACTCCCCTGGCAAGGGGTGTTAACAAGGTGGAAGATATCCCTCCAGTGCCCGCTCTTCCACCGCCAGGAGCCTATGGTGGACAGGGGATAGATGATCCGTTTGGAACTATGGAGGCGATTTCAGAACGGCGAAGACGGGTGCTTTCATCCGGGACTTTGTTCGAGGAGGAAGATTCCCCGTCAAGACAAATAAATCGGCCACGATCGTTTTCCAATAAAGAAATCAGCCGTAACGAAAGCGGACTTGTTGCATCTACTAGCCGGTTCAGTTTGGAGACCATCTCTCCACGTCGACGATCTGAAGGTTGGTGGAACTACCTTCTATCTCCCTTGCTATCTCGCTCTAGTACAATGACTACTATCAACACCCTTCACCGTAACGGATCTCAGGGTGACGACGAAGGACCTCCTCCTGTGCCAGAGTTACCAAACAACACACGCCTGCAGCTTGCTATACCAAACAGGCACGATGAGCCAACCCTCACAAACAAGGAATGGCGGGACAAGCAAGTTTCCGTCTTTTCACCCATCACTCCAGAAACAGCCACGGAAAAAGGGTCTCCCTCCGTTAAATCCCCTGCTTCAGGCTGGCGAGAACGGTTGGTTTCTGTCTTTTCTCCAATCACCCCCGACAGTGCAGGTACTTCCAAGGAGAAACGTATACTAAGCAACGTCACTGAATGGCCGGGCATGGACCACTGGTACTTCCAACAGGAGAAAAGCCAGATGAAGGTTGATACTGGAAATCTTACCCTCAACACCACTGTGAAAAACAAGGGGAATGTCACTACTTCACCTAAACACCGTGAAAATGAGGAGCATCGGACATCGCTTTGCTCCGCCGTCACGTCGCAGTCAATTCCGTTCATGATGTCGGATCCATCCAGTCACCATGCGAGTGTCAGCACAGGTGCTAACCATAGTTCAAGAAATATCGCCAATAATCAGTCCTTTGCCAGTTACAGCCGGGGTGCTACGAACAAGGACTCCAACCCAAACATTTGCAGGACTAATTCCCACAAAGATCAAAACACGAATAACCCGTTCTTTCAACAGTTTGTCGATTCTATTCGAGGTGAAGACGGTAGAAGACGCTCTGACTCTGCATCTACCATGATCGAAGAGGATGAACCCGATATTTCTCCCAACGTCCGCCATGCAACTGCCACCCCGATTTTTCACCACACCATGCCTACGATGGTAGGAACTCGTGGCCCGCCAGCTCCCATAGCACCGCCAGCAGCAGCTCAACGAACTAGCGTATCTAGCTCTGGATCTGATTCTTCATGTTCTCCCGAGCCAACACCGGAGAGACCAAAAAATAAGATTGCGGGTATAGGAACTATCAAACGTAAGACGGTTCCAAAGTACCATGCCATTCTACCACCAGACAGACAATCACCACTGGAATCACCGGGCCCTCTCTCTCCAGAAGCTCAAGCCACGTTGAACTCCGGCGGTATCCAAATGAATGATGTTCCTTTACCACGTCGGCCGGATAGGACGTATCTCCTACCTGCAACCAACGATTTCCCTCGCCACCCAAAGGTATCCCCAGTCATAATGCAGACACCAATCATCCGCCAGACTCCCAAGATAGGCATCACCAAAAAGGATGTAAAGTCCAAAACAGTGATACAACAGAAAAAGGTGACTCGTAAGGAGGTTGTTGGTCAGGACAGCAGCTTCTGGCGTGGCCAAAAGTGTCGATGCAAGCAGGGGTGTGCTGGGAATCGAGACTGTGAAGGTAGAAGAAAAAGACGGAAATGCTGCTGGATTATCATCATCTTGATATTGCTATTTCTTATCGGTTTAGGTATCTTGTTAGGCGTGTTGCTGACGAGGAAAGGTCCGGGCCAGAGCCAGCCTCCAAGACCCCCTGGCTCTGGACCGCAGCCAACGCCTGGACAAGAACCGGGACAGAAGATGGAAGACGATCGGTGGTTGAATCTTACTGGTTACCCGCCTATTCCAACTGGAATATCTACCGTTGCTGGCCCGAGTGCTGCCAATATCAACTCGGGCTGTATTGCACCAACAAGTATGTGGAGCTGCTCTTTGCCAAAGGAGATGCAGGACGCAAATAAGCCGTTTGATGCGGACCAGCCTCGGTTCAAGATTGAAATCAAATTCAAGAACGGGACCTATCAGCATAGCACCACCATAGCAGATAAAGGGAAGAGAGAGGTACCTACCCTTTCCAACCTTTTCGTCCTTGGAAACTGGGCGAGGAGACAATACCCCCTTGAACGAAGAGACGAATTTACTCCATCTCCAGCACCACCTAGTGTTGAAGAGCAATCATTTCTCGGAAATACCACTGACAAAACCGCCGCTCCATTCGAGGGAGAGGAAACGCCCTTCTTCGTAACCGTTTTAGACACTGCTCCGCCAAAGGGTGTTCCTGGAACAGGAAATAGCGCTCGATTCCGCCGTAGTGAACCAGAGGGTTTCCCTGACCTGTCCAAAATCATCCCTCCGCCAGCTCTTGATACAGATGGCACAGCTGCACCAGCAACTCTATACCCATTCCCTTCATCCCAGCCTCTCCGTCTATACGATCGAGGCTTACCAACAGAACATTATGGGTTTTACACGTACTACGATCGATCTATTTTCCTCAAATCCTCACGCCCCATAGGCGATGGCAAGGAAACTGGGAACATCCCTAGCGATCTCGACGGTGGCTCAACGAAATCTGCTGCAAGTGTACAGTGCACATGGGCACAAACAAGATTCCTCGTCCAGATATGGACTCAAGCATCTAAAGCAGGACTGGAACTCATGTCACCATCTGGTGATCCCGGTCCAAAACCACCATCCTATGCAGAAGATTTTAGACGGCCCGGTTCCTTGCCATACCCGATCACAATCACGCTGGATAGACATGGCGGTGACCCGAAGAAGAAATTCGTGTACTGC